CTATGGCGGATGGGTGTAGGTGATGGAGGTTGAAGAAGGGTCGGGGTGTCCGGCTATGGTGGATGGGTGTAGGTGATGGAGGTTAAAGAAGGGTCGGGGTGTCCGGCCATGGCGGATCGGTGTAGGTGATGGAGGTTGAAGAAGGGTCGAGGTGTCTAGTTATGGCGGATGGGTGTAGGTAATGGAGGTTAAAGAAGGGTCGGGATCTCCGGCTATGGTGGATGGGTGTAGGTGATGGAGGTTGAAGAAGGGTTGGGGTATCCGGCTATGGTGGATGGGTGTAGGTGGTGGAGGTTGAAGAAGGGTCAAGGGGTGTCCGGCTATGGCGGATGGGCGTAGGTGATGGAGGTTGAAGAAGCGTCGGGGTGTCCGGCTATGGCGGATGGGTGTAGGTGATGGAGGTTGAAGAACGGTCGGGGTGTCCGGCTATGGTGGAGGCGTATAGGTGATGGAGGTTGAAGAAGGGTTGGGGTGTCCGGCTATGGTGGAGGGGTGTAGGTGATGGAGGTTGAAGAAGGGTCGGGGTGTCCGGCTATGGTGGATGGGTGTAGGTGATGGAGGTTGTAGAAGGGTCGGGGTGTCCGACTATGGCGGATGGGTGTAGGTGATGGAGGTTGAAGAAGGGTGGGGTTGTCCGGCTATGGTGGATGGGTGTAGGTGATGGAGGTTGAAGAAGAGTCGGGGTGTCCGGCTATGGTGGATGGGTGTAGGTGATGGAGGTTGAAGAAGGGTCGGGGTGTCCGGCTATCGCGGATGGGTGTAGGTGATGGAGGTTGTAGAAGGGTTGGGGTGTCCGGCTATGGTGGATGGGTGTAGGTGATGGAGGTCGAAGAAGGGTCGGGGTGTCCGGCTATGGTGGACGGGTGTAGGTGATGGAGGTTGAAGAAGGGTCGGGGTGTCCGGTTATGGCGGATGGGTGAGGGTGATGGAGGTTGAAGAAGGGTCGGGGTGTCCGGCTATGGTGGATGGTGTAGGTGATGGCTCGCTCGTCCCGCGGTCTGCGACCGATCCTATTCTACCACCCAACTCCCTATCCCTTATGTCTCCCTCGTAGGTCGTTGGTCTCGGCCGCACGTGCACCCTTGCAATAGTGAAGACATTCTTTTCAGACCCGTAGATCCCCAAGAGTGGAAGCAACAAGAAGGGACCCGTCAATACTTACTCAAGCGTTTAGACCGGCAAAAAATAGTGTGCACAACACCCTACCCATGCACATAGGACAACGAACAAACAATGTGAACAACACCCTACCTGTGCACATAGTACAGCAAACTTACAATGTGGACAGCACCCTACCCATGCACATAGAATACCAAACTGACAACGGGAACAGCACCCTACCCGTGCGCATAGAACAGCAAACTGACAATGTGGAAAGCACCCTACCCATGCACATAGAATACCAAACTGACAATGAGAACAGCACTTTACCCGTGCACATAGATCAGCAAACTGACAATGTGAACAGCATCCTACCCATGCTCCTAGCACAGCAAACCGACAATGTGAACAGCACCCTACCCGTGCACATTAAACAGCAAACTGACAATGTGAACAGCACCCTACCCATGCACCTATCACAGCAAACTGACAATGTGAACAGCACTCTACCCGTGCACCTAGCACAGCAAACTGACAATGTGAACAGCACCCTACCCGTGCACATAGAACAGCAAACTGACAATGTGAACAGCATCCCACCCATGCACCTAGAACAACAAACTGACAATGTGGACGGCACCCTACCCACGCATCTATCACAGCAAACTGACAATGTGGACAGCACCCTACCCACGCATCTATCACAGCAAACTGACAATGTGAACAGCACTCTACCCCGGGGTTGAACAGCGAAGTACTACCGGGGGAACAGCAACCTACCCATGCACATTGAACAACAAAAGAACAATATAAACAACATCCTATGGGGAGGAAATCATCACCGAAGCATCCCGAAGTGAAGCGCCACACACACACTCATCAAGGACAGCACAAAGGTAAGATTTGAGGCATCCTAGGAGTAGGGCACATCACGAAACTTTCCCAAGGGGAATCGCAACTCATCCAGACTCCCAAATCAATGAAGACTCAAAGCTTCAAGCATCAATACCAAGGGAAACATCACAAGACCTTCACAAGGTGAATCGCAACTCATCCAGGCTCCCAAATCAATGACAACTCAAAGCTTGAAGCATCCACTCAAGAGGAAACATCACAGGAGTATCA